TCAGTTTTTCGATTTGCAATTTTTCTAATTCTTAAGTTTAATTTTTTTAGTTTCTTACTTTTCCAACTTTTGTAATTTTCAATTTTTATATTTTCCGATTCTTTAAATTAAAATTTCTCGAGTTTTCAATTTTTAATTTTTCAATTATTCAATTCCTTAATTTTTCATTTCTTCAGATTTTTGGTTACAAGTTTTTCTTTTCGGCTTTTTATTTTCTTTATATTTTAATTTTTTGTATTTTCAGTTTCAATTTTTTTCAATTTTTCCATTTGCAATTTTTAACATTTTTATTTTATTTTCTTTTTTGAATCTTACGACAAATAACATTTCAGCTCTTAGATTTTGCAGTTTTTCGATTTGAGTTTCCCGAGTTTTCAATTTTTAATTTTTCAGTTTTTGATTCATAAATTTTCCATTTCTTCAATTTGTCGATTCTTTAATTTTTCGTGTTTTCAAATTTTCGATTTGCAGTTTTTCTTTTCGGCTTTTTATTTTGTTCATATTTTCAATTTCAATTTTTTTCAATTTTTCGATTTGCAATTTTTAACATTTTTATTTTATTTTGTTTTTTGAATCTTACGACAATTAACATTTTGAGTTTTCGTTTTCAAATTATTCAGTTTTTCGATTTTCCAATTTTTGGAAATTTCAGCTCTTAGATTTTGCAGTTTTTCGATTTGAGTTTATCGGGTTTTCAATTTTTAGTTTTTCAATTTTTGATTCTTAAATTTTCCATTTCTTCAATTTTTCGATTCTTTAATTTTTCATGTCTTCAAATTTCCGACTTGCACTTTTTAGTTTCGTTTTCTTTTTCTTTTTTATTACAATTTTTAGATTTTTCAATGTTTCCATTTTATAATTTTTCGTATTTTCAATTTCAACTTTGGAATTTTTTTTTTTTTTTAATTTTTCAATTTGCAATTTTTTAACTTTCTCTTTTTTTCTGTTTTTACGAGTACAGTTTATCGATTTTGCATTTTTTTAATTTTTGAGTCCAAAGTATGTAGTTTTTCAATTTTTCAACGTACGTAATTTTCAATTTTTGGATTTTGAGATTCTTCCAAGTAAAATTTCTGGAGTTTTCAATTTTTAATATTTTAATTTTTCATTTCTAAAAATTTTCAATTTGCCGATTTTTTTTTGGATTTTTATTGTCTTTATTTTTACATTTTTTGTATTTTTGATTTCAATTTTTTTCAATTTTCCGATTTGCAATTTTTAACATTTTTACTTTTTTTTCTTCAATCTTATGATGAATAACTCTGAGTTTTCGTTTCCAAATTTTCACTTTTTCGACTTTCCAAATTTTGGATATTTCAGATTTTAGATTTTGTAATTTTTCGAATTAACTTTCTCCAGTTTTCAGTTTTTAATTTTTCAAGATTTCGAATTTTCAATTTTTCATTACTTCAATTTTTCGATTCCTTAATTTTTCATTTCTTCAAATTTCGGGCTTGCACTTTTTAGTTTCGTTTTTTTTTTTCTTTATTTTTACAATTTTTTGATTTTTCAATGTTTCCATTTTGTATTTTCAATTTCAATTTTGTCAATTTTTCTTTCTTTAAATTTTTCAATTTGCAATTTCTTAACTTTTTCATTTTTTTTTGTTCCTACAGTTTATCGATTTGCATTTTTTTTTAGTTTTTAAGTTTAAATTTTTTAGTTTTTCAATTTTCCAAATTTCGTAAATTTCAAATTCTAGATTTTGATATTCTTCGAAGTAAAATTTCTCGAGTTCTCAATTTTTCAATTTTTAATTTATCAGTTTTTCTATTTTTCAAATTTCCAAGTAGTATTTTTTACTTTCGGTTTTTTATTTTCTTTATTTTTACATTTTTCGATTTTATATTTTTTTTGTATTTTTAATTTCAATTTTGTCAATTTTTCTTTTCTTCAATTTTTCAATTTGCAAATATTTAACTTTTTAATTTTGTTTGTTTGTACAGATTTGCATTTTCATTAGTTTTTAAGTTTAAATTTTTTAGTTTTTCAATTTTCAAATTTTTTACATTTTTCGAATTAAAATTTCTCGAGCTTTGAATTTTTAATTTTTCTATTTTTCGATTCTTTAATTTTTCATTTCTTCAAATTTCCGACTTGTGCTTTTTAATTTCGGTTTATTATTTTCTTTATTTTTACAGTTTTTCGATTTTTCGATTTTTCAAATTACAATTTTTCGATTTTTCGATTTTTCAAATTACAATTTTTCGATTTTTCAATTTTTCAAATTACAATTTCTCGAGCTTTCAATTTTTAGTTTTTCAATTTTTCGATTCTTTAATTTCTCATTTCTTCAAATTTCCGACTTGTACTTTTTAGTTTCGGTTTTTTATTTTCTTTATTTTTACAATTTTTCGAGTTTTCAGATTATAATTTCTCGAGCTTTCAATTTTTAATTTTTCAATTTTTCGATTCTTTAATTTTTCAGTTCTTCAAATTTCCGACTTGTACTTTTTAGTTTCGGTTTTTTATTTTCTTTATTTTTACAATTTTTCGAGTTTTCAGATTATAATTTCTCGAGCTTCCAATTTTTAATTTTTCAATTTTTCGATTCTTTAATTTTTCAGTTTTTCAAATTTTCGATTTGCAATTTTTCGTTTCGGTTTTTTATTATCTTCGTTTTTACATTTTTCTCTTTTTACAATGTTCCTATTTTACAATTTTTTTGTATTTACAATTTGAATTTTTTTTTAATTTTTGGTTTCTTCAATTTTTCGGTTTTACAATATTCCAATTTTGTAATTCATTATGTTTTCAATTTCAATTTTGTCAATTTTTCGTTTCTCCAATTTTTCAATTTACAATTTTTACCTTTTTAAATTTTTTTTTGTTTCTTCAATTCCACGATAAGTAACTTTTTTAGTTTCCATTTTTAAATTATTCAGTGTCCGATTTTCCAAATTTTGGACGTTTCGATATTTAGATTTTGTAATTTTTCGATTTTTTAATTTTTCGTTTCTTCTTTTCCACTTTTTCAACTGACGATTTTAGAATCGATCCATTTTTCAGTTTTTGGATTTTTTCTATTTTTCGATGTTTCGATTTTTCAATTTTTAATTTCAATTTTAAGAAATTTAATTTTCCAATTTTTCGATCGTCCAATGTCACAGTTTTTCAAATTTAAATTTTTCGATTTTAAAATTTTTGACTTTTCCAATTTTTCCTATTGGATTCGTTTCCTCTTTCTAGTTTTTCGATTCATTACTTTTTTCAATTTTTAAATTTCCAAATTTCTTAGATTCGCAATTTTTCTATTTTCCAATTTTTTGATTTCGTAATTTCTCGTTTTTTAATTTTATCGAATTAAATTATATCAAAAAAAATTTCAAAAATTGCAAATTTCTAAGAATAACAAATCAACAATAAAAAAAACGGAAAGTATATGTAGAATCAAAAACTTTGAAAAAAATATAAAAATTGTAAATCAATAACTTGAAAAATCGAAAAATCGCAAATAAAAAAAATGATAAACTGAAAATTTCAAAAAGTGCAACATCGGAAAAATGAAATATTGTCAAATCATAACACTGAAAATTAAAGAAATGGGAAAAGCGAATGATTGAGGAATCCAAAAATTGCAAATTTGAAAAATTTTAAAATTGAAGTATCGAAGAAAAAAATTGAGACATCTAAAAATCGAGAAAAAGTACAAAATCGGAAAAACGAAATAATGTAGAATCGTAATATTCAAAATTAAAGAAACGGGAAAATCGAATAATTGAGAAATCAAAAAATTGAAAAATTTGCAAGTCGAAAATGGAAAAACAGAAAAATTAATAAAATTTAAAAAACGAAAAATATCGTGATATCGAAAAGTTGTAAAATCGAAGAAAAAGGAAAAACGAAAAATTGTGATATCAAAAATTGGTTGAAGGTAAATAAATAACCTTGAAACGTTTGCAAGATTTCAGACCATTCGGTTTTGTAGTTTCAGAGTTATAAATTGGAAAATGTTATAAAATGTTTATCTTTTTTAAAAAATCTGGATGTCTAGGGTAAAAACTGAACACGGATTCATAACCCACATGTAAACAGTTATCTTATTGTATAAAATTAAAATAACATAGGTACTAATGTAAATTTTGGAGATTTATCCAAATTTTATTACCATCTACACGATTTTCCTAACACACATTTGACAACAATCGGTCTAGTACTTTCGGAAATAATCTGTCTAATAAAAATTCGCACAAACGGAAACGGGGGACCCATTTTTTCGTCCTCTAGGGTTCATGAAACGCTTACGCTCCGGAAGTAATTAAAACAATTACAAAATTAGCAGCACAAATTCACACCGCAACGAAATATTTTCCATTTAAATAACTTTTACTAACACAATAACGTTCCATCGTACTTTAAATAACACAATGTCACGACACCACTTCGAGATAACACCGAATTATCGCTAATCATAAATTTCAACAAAACAAATTCCTCTTCGCTTCTAATTATGAACCCAACTTCGCAACCCACCAAAACAACAATAACCCCAACTCGATTCTTTCAGCACTCCCTCAAAAATTCCGCCCCGAAATTCTAATAAAACGACACGCTTGGCTTAAGCACAAATGTAATTACTCCAAAACAAGATAAAAGTTAACACAAAAACCATTTTAAGCACCTCGAAACAGTTCGAAGAAGTTTTGAAAAGAACGAGATATCCGCATCTGCGGATCTCGCACTCTCGAACTCATCAAATAAGTTAATTTTAATAAAACAGCAAACTGAACGAAATCGATAATCCATTTAGTGGCGGCGTGGAATATCTGTCAAAACCAAAAACAGAAGACACGAACATAATCAAAGTTACATCCGCAAGAAGACTCTTCTGGTATCAAATTACGCTAAATAAACGAGAGCAAAAATGACAATAAAGCGACTGGTTTGAATTACGATTCGAGATAAGAATATTAATCGTTTTTTTATTGCGATAAATATTAATTAGTCTTGAGTGAGTAATTTCGTGAATTAAAAACGAAAAATGCGGGTTGAATACGTACCGATTATCCTTGACGCTAAAACCCCAAAGCCACAAACAAAAAGTTTCAGCAGTTTTTAACGATCTCGTCCACGAAACAGCACCGAACTTGCGAAAGTCCAAAACGCGCCACCGCAGGATAACGACTGCAGTTTCCAACTTGATACAGACATAGTCCTGGCGAAGTCCTGATCCTCCCTTATTCAAGCAGGCGCATTCCGAATCTGTGTATTTAACGATATTAATAATAAAGCAAACACGCTTAAGTATAATTAAATTTACCAAATCCACTATTGTTAATTTCTGCGAATTTCGATATTAAGTTGAGGCAGCCAGGAGGTGTATTTGTTTTTGAAATATTTCCTCCGTAATTTACTGCGCCAGACTTTCTCACAAGATCCCGCTATTATTCCAGGTTTGAGTTATTATCCGTTCGGGCAACAAAACTAAATTATGATCAATTGTTAAAGCGCTAAATGTTGGATAATTTTTTCGAACGATTTATATAGTTTCGGACGTCCATTGTCCCCTTTAATAACACTATATTAACCTAATAACTGGCTTACCTTCCCCAGAAGCCCCTCAAGCTGCCGCCCCTAATCCAGTCCGCGTCGGGCCTCAATAATGCAGTTACCTCAACACCGTTTCCCTCTCAACAAACAATTATAAAAATGCGAGTCACAACCGCATTATTGTTTACGATCTGGGTGATACTCGCTCCGGTTAATTCGGCCCGAGAAGTTAGAAGTGACGTGGTTCCGTTACAAATTCCAAAAACGGACGCGCTGGCTAAAAATGAGAATTCGAGGACCGTGAGGGATTGCATTATAAGTTTACTTCACATTCAAAGGGCGCCTCTTCTAACAACAAACTGTTGCCTAACAAGGTTATGTCCGAAGAAGAATAGCACCACGCTGAAAGCACCGATGCAAGGCCATCGAGGCGTGCAGAGGACGCTATTGGGGTTGTGCAAAGGGCCGTACTTCCAGCTGGAAAAAGGGTGCGGTGTGGCAGAAGACGCAAACAGGTAACTCCTTGAAAGCATTGAATTTTACGGACTTGGTTGATTTCGGGCGATAATGGGATAATGGGAATATGCAGTGGTGAAAACTGACTCTTTCGGGAATAATCTAAACAATGGAACGTGTTATCGCAAAAGCGCTGCAAACTTTCGAACGTTAACGGTAAAACGGTTCGGGTAAATTGTAGAATTGGTGGTGAATTTAAAAAGGGATCAGCTGAAAGTTCTATTTCTGGCCAACAAAAAGTTTATTAAATTAAACGTGAAAAATTATTGTTATTCTTAACTTATTAGTTGTTTCGAAGAATTCAGAAGAATCTAGAAAAAACAAGAAGAATCTGATTCATTCTTTCAAATTTTCAGGATTTTTTAGAGTTTTTTCAAACTTCTTCGAACTTTTCAGATTCTTTCAAACATACCATCAGAAATCCGTAAGATTCTTTAAAATATTTCAGTTCTGTTCAGATTGTTTCAGATGCTTACACATCCTTTCAGATTCCTGCAGACTCTTCCGGACTTTTCTAGATTCTTCGAGATTCTCTCACATTCTCTCGAAGAATCTCGAAAAATTTAGAGGAATCTAAACAAAGCTGGAAGAATTTGGAAGAATCTGCAGAGATTTGAAAGGGTCTGAAACGATTTGTATAGAATTGAAAAATTTGAAAGAATCTTGAGGATTCCTGGCGGTGTCTTTGAAAGAATCGTAAAAACACGAAAGAATCTGAGGGAATCAGGAGAAAATAAAAGAATCTGGAGAAATTTGAAGGAATCTGAGAGAAATGGCTAGATTCGAAAAGAATCTGAAAGAATCTAAAGGAATATGAGAGAATCTTAAATAATCTGAGGGAATCAAAGAGAAACTGGGAAATTCGGAACGAATCTGTGAGAGCCTGGAAGAATTCCGAAGAATCTAGAAAAATCTGGAAGAACCTAGAAGAGTCTGCGGGGATCTAAAAGTATCTGTAAGGTTCTAAAATAATCTGAATAGAATTGGAAAAAATCGAAAAAATGTGAAACAATCTAACAGCATTCGAATGGATCCAAAAGAATCCGAAAGGAAGATTCTTTAAAAAGAGGAAAGAATCTGGAAACACCTGAAAGAATCTGGAAGAATCTGAGAAAACCCAAAAAAATCTGAAGGAATATAAAACTAAGAATCGGAAAGAATTCGAAAGAGTCAGAGGGGATCCGAAAGAATCTCAGAGAATCTAAACGAATCTAGGTAAACCTGGAAGAATCTAAAAGGATTTAAGAGAATCTAGTAAAATCTAGAAAAACTTGTAATAATCTAGAACAATCTACAGGGATCTGAAAGGATCCAAAGCAATCTTGAAAATTTAAGGACATCTGAGGGAATATTGAGGGATATTGAGATAACTTGAAAGAATAGAAAAAAAAATTGTAACGAAGTGTATTTTTTCTAGAAATTTTCGCATTAATTTAGTAACATAAGTTTTCTAAAATTTCATTTTTTCGAAGAATTCAGAAGAATCTAGAAAAAACAAGAAGAATCTGGAAGAGTCTGCAGGGATCTGAACTGATCTGGAAACATTTGAAAGAATCTGAAACGATATGAACGGTGAACATTTTTAAAGAATCTGAGAGAACTTAAGACTCTTTTCAAATTCTTTGGGTTTCTTCTGATTCTTTCTTTCGGATTTTTCGGATTTTTTCGAATTTTTTCAGTTTCCTTCGAACTTTTCAAATTCTTTCAAAGATACCATGGCAAATCCTCAAGATTCTTTAAAATCTTTCAGTTCTGTACAGATTGTTTCAGATCCTTACAAATCCTTTCAGATTCCAGCAAACTCTTTCAGATTTTTCTAGATTCTTCGAGATTCTCTCACATTCTCTGGAAGAATCTGAAGGAATCTCGAAGTATCTCGGAAAATTTAGAGGAATCCAAAAAAAACTGGAAGAATTTGGAAGAATCTGCAGAGATTTGAAAGGGTCGGAAACAATTTGTATAGAACTGAAAAATTTGAAAGAATCTTGAAATTTCCTGAGGGTGTCTTTGAAAGAATATTAAAAAATGTCAAAGAATTAGAAACAATCCGGAAGCATCTGGAAACATTTGAAAGAATCTGGAGAAATTTGAAGGAATCTGAGAGAAATTGGGAGATTCGAAAAGAATCTGAAGGAATCTAAAGGAATATGAGAGAATCTGAAAGAATCTGAGGGAATCTAAGAGAAACTGGATTATTCGGAACGAATCTGTGAGAACCTGGGAGAATCCCGAAGAATCTAGAAAAATCTGGGAGAACCTAGAAGAGTCTGCGGGGATCTGAAAGTATCTGTAAGGTTCTAAAATGATCTGAATAGAATTGGAAATAATCGAAAAAATGCGAAACAATCTAGCACCATCCGGAATAATCCGAAAGTATCCAAAGGAAAACACCTGAAAGAATCCGGGAATCTGTGAGAACCCAAAAAAATTTGAGGGAATATGAAACTAATAATCGGAAAGAATTAATTTTTTAACATTAGTTTTGTAAAATTTCATTTTATCGAAGAATTCAAAAGAATCTAGAACAAACAAGAAAAATCTGAAAGAGTCTGAAGCGATCTGAACTGATCTGGAAAAATTTGAAAGAATCTCTAATGATATGAAAGGTGAAAAATTCTGAGAGAATCTAAGAAAATTTAAGATTCTTTTCCAAATTCTTTGGATTCTTCCTCATTCTTTCTTTCAAATTTTTCGGATTTTTTCGAATTTTTTCAGATTTCTTCGAGCTTTTCAGATTCTTTCAAAGATACCATCAGAAATCCTCAAGATTCTTTAAAATATTTCAGTTCTGTTCAGGTTATTTCAGACTCCTCCATGTTTTTCTACATTCTTCTAGATTTTGCTACATTTTTCGAGATTCTCTCACATTCCCTGTTGGAATCTGAGGAAATCCCGAAGAATCTCGCAAAATCTAGAAGAATAAAAAAAAACTGGAAGAATTTGGAAGAATCTGCAGGGATCTGAATGGATCTGAAACGATTTGTACAGAACTCAAAAATTTGAAAGAATCTTGAGGATTCCTGACGGTGTCTTTGAAAGAATCTGAAAAAACTTGAAAGAATGTGAAAGAGAGAATCAGAAAGAAAGTGAAAGAATCTGGAGAAATTTCAAGGAATCTGAGAGAAATTGGGAGATTCGAAAAGAATCTGAAGGAATCTAAAGGAATATGAGAGAATCTGAAAGAATCTGAGGGAATCTAAGAGAAACTGGAAAATTCGGAAAGAATCTGTGAGAGCCTGGGAGAATCCCGAAGAATCTAGAAAAATCTGGGAGAACTTAGAAGAGTCTGCGGGGATCTAAAAGTATCTGTAAGGTTCTAAAATGATCTGAATAGAATTGGAAAAAATCGAAAAAATGTGAAACAATCTAACAGCATTCGAATGGATCCAAAAGAATCCGAAAGGAAGACTCTTTAAAAAGGGGAAAGAATCTGGAAACACCTGAAAGAATCTGGAAGAATCTGAGAAAACCCAAAAAATCTAAAGGAATATGAAACTAAGAATCGAAAAGAATTCGAAAGAATCAGAGGGGATCCGAAAGAATCTCAGAGAATCTAAACGAATCTAGGTAAACCTGGAAGAGTCTGAAAGGATTTAAGAGAATCTAGTATAATCTAGAAAAACTTGTAATAATCTAGAACAATCTACAGGGATCTGAAAGGATCCAAAGCAATCTTGAAAATTTAAGGACATCTGAAGGGAATATTGAGGGATATTGAGATAACTTGAAAGAATAAAAAAAAAATTGTAACGAAGTGTATTTTTTCTAGAAATTTTCGCATTAATTTTGTAACATAAGTTTTCTAAAATTTCATTTTTTCGAAGAATTCAGAAGAATCTAGGAAAAACAAGAAGAATCTGGAAGAGTCTGCAGGGATCTGAACTGATCTGGAAAAAATTGAAAGAATCTGAAACGATATGAACGGTAAAAACTTTTAGAGAATCTGAGAGAACTTAAGATTCTTTTCAAATTCTTTGGATTCTTCTGATTCGTTCTTTCGAATTTTTCGGATTTTTTCGAATTTTTTCAGTTTCCTTCGAACTTTTCAAATTCTTTCAAAGATACCATCGGAAATCCTCAAGATTCTTTAAAATCTTTCAGTTCTGTTCAGATTGTGTCAAATCCTTACACATCCTTTCAGATTCCAGCAGACTCTTCCAGATTTTTCTAGATTCTTCGAGATTCTCTCACATTCTCTGGAAGAATCTGGGGGAATCTCGAAGAATCTCGGAAAATTTAGAGGAATCCAAACAAAACTGGAAGAATTTAAAAGAATCTGCAAGAATCTGAAAGGATCTGAAACAATTTGTATAGAACTGAAAAATTTGAAAGAATCTTGAAATTTCCTGAGGGTGTCTTTGAAAGAATGTTAAAAACTGTCAAAGAATTAGAAACAATCCGGAAGCATCTGGAAACATTTGAAAGAATCTGGAGGAATTTGTGGGAATCTGAGAGAATCTGAGAGAAATTTGCAAGATCAGAATGTATTTGAAGGAATCTGAGTTTACTTATGGGAATCTGAGAAAATCTCAAAGAATCTAGAAACATCTGGATGAATTTGGAAAAGTCTGCAGGGATCTGAAGGTATCTGTACTGTTTTAAAACGACCGGAATAAGAACTCCAAAATTTGAAAGAATCGTAAGGATTCCTGACGGTATCTTTGAAAGAATCGGAAAAAGGTCGAAAAAATCTGAAAGAGAGAACTAGAAAAAAAATGAAAGAATCTCGAGAAATTTGAAGGAATCCGAGATAAATTGCGAGATTCGAAAAGAATCCGAAAAAATCTAGAAGAACATGGGGGAATCTGAGGGAATATGAAACTAATAATCGGAAAGAATTAGAAAGAATCAGAGGGGATCGGAAAGAATCTCAGAGAATCTAAACGAATCTAGGTAAACCTGGAAGAATCTGAGAGGATTTAAGAGAATCTAGTAAAATCCAGAAAAAACTGGAATAATCTAGAACAGTCTGCAGGGATCTGAAAGGACCCAAAGCAATCTTGGAAATTTCAGAGGATTTGAAACGATTTATAAAGATCTGAAAAATTCTTAAAATATCCCAGGAAATATTGAGGAATATTGAGATAACTTGAAATAATAGAAAAAAATCTGTAACAAAGTGTATTTTTTCTAGAAACAAGAAGAATCTGAAAGAGTCTGCAAGGATCTGAACTGATCTGGAAAAATTTGAAAGAATCTGAAACGATATGAAAGGTGAAAAATTCTGAGAGAATCTGAGAGAATTTAAGATTGTTTCAAATTCTTTGATTCTTCCTGATTTTCTCTTTCGAATTTTTCTGATTTTTTAGAATTTTTTCAGATTCCTTCGAACTTTTCAGATTCTTTCAAAGATACCATCAGAAATCCTCAAGATTCTTTAAAATATTTCAGTTCTCTTCAGATTGTTTCAGATCCTTACAAATCCTTTCAAATCCCAGCAGACTCTTCCAGATTCTTGTAGATTTTGCTAGATTCTTCGAGATTCTCTCACATTCCCTGTAGAAATCTGAGGGAATCTCGAAGAATCTCGAAAAATCTAAAAGAATAAAAAAATGGAAGAATTTAGAAGAGTCTGCAGGGATCTAAAAGGGTCTGAAACGATTTGTATAGAACTGAAAAATTTGAAAGAACCGTGAGGATTCCTGACGGTGTCTTTCAAAGAATGGAAAAAAATCCGGAAGCATCGGAAAGAATAAAAAAAATCGTAAAAATTTGAAAGAGAGAATCAAAAAGAAAATGAAAGAATCTGAAAGCATTTTAAAGAATCTAGAGGAATTTGTGGGAATCTGAGAGAATCTGAGGGATTTTTGGGAGCTCAGAAAGTATTTGAAAGATTTGAGTTTACTTGTGGGAATCTGAGAGAATCTCAAAGAATCTAGAAACATCTGGAAGAATTTGGAAAAGTCTGCAGGGATCTGAAGGTATCTGTACGGTTTTAAAACGACCGGAATAGAACTTAGAAATTTGAAAGAATCGTGAGGATTCCTGACGGTGTTTTTGAAAGAATCGGAAAAAGTTTGAAAGAATCTGAAAGAGAGAATCAGAAAAAAATGAAAGAATCTGGAGAAATTTGAAGGAATCTGAGAGAAATTGGGAGATTCGAAAAGAATCCGAAAGAATCCAAAGGAATATGAGGGAATCTGAGGGAATATGAAACTAATAATCGGAAAGAATTAGAAAGAATCAGAGGGGATCGGAAAGAATCTCAGAGAATCTAAACGAATCTAGGTAAACCTGGAAGAATCTGAGAGGATTTAAGAGAATCTAGTAAAATCCAGAAAAAACTGGAATAATCTAGAACAGTCTGCAGGGATCTGAGAGGACCCAAAGCAATCTTGGAAATTTCAGAGGAATTGAAACGATTTATAAAGATCTGAAAAATTCTTAAAATATCCCAGGAAATATTGAGGAATATTGAGATAACTTGAAATAATAGAAAAAAATCTGTAACAAAGTGTATTTTTTCTAGAAACAAGAAGAATCTGAAAGAGTCTGCAAGGATCTGAACTGATCTGGAAAAATTTGAAAGAATCTGAAACGATATGAAAGGTGAAAAATTCTGAGAGAATCTGAGAGAATTTAAGATTTTTTCAAATTCTTTGGATTCCTCCTGATTCTCTCTTTCGAATTTTTTGGATTTTTTAGAATTTTTTCAGATTCCTTCGAACTTTTCAGATTCTTTCAAAGATACCATCAGAAATCCTCAAGATTCTTTAAAATATTTCAGTTCTGTTCCGATTGTTTCAAATCCTTACAAATCCTTTCAAATCCCTGCAGACTCTTCCAGATTCTTCTAGATTTTGCTAGATTCTTCGAAATTCTCTCACATTCTCTGTAGGAATCTGAGGCAATCTCGAAGAATCTCGAAAAATCTAGAAGAATAAAAAAAGGAAGAATTTAGAAGAGTCTGCAGGGATCTAAAAGGGTCTGAAACGATTTGTATAGGACTGAAAAATTTAAAAGAATCATAAGGATTCCTGACGGTGTCTTTCAAAGAATGGGAAACAATCCGGAAGCATTGGAAAAAATAAAAAAAAATCGTAAAAATTTGAAAGAAAGAATAAAAAAAAAATGAAAGAATCTGAACGGATTTGAACGGATTTGAAAGAATCTGAAAGGATTTGAAAGAATCTGGAGGAATTTGTGGGAATCTGAGAGAATCTGAGGGATTTTTGGGAGATCAGAAAGTATTTGAAAGATCTGAGTTTACTTGTGGGAATCTGAGAGAATCTCAAAGAATCTAGAAACATCTGGAAGAATTTGGAAAAGTCTGCAGTGATCTGAAGATATCTGTACGGTTTTAAAACGACCAGAATAGAACTAAAAAATTTGAAAGAATCGTGAGGATTCCTGACGATGTCTTTGAAAGAATCGGAAAAAGTTCGAAAGAATCTGAAAGAGAGAATCAGAAAAAAATGAAAGAATCTGGAGAAATTTGAAGGAATCTGAGAGAAACTGGGAGATTCGAAAAGAATCTGTAGGAATCCAAAGGAATATGGGGGAATCTGAAAGATTCTGAGGGAATTTCAGAGAATCTCGAAGAATCTAGAAAAATCTAGAAGAACTTAAAAGAGTATACATGAATCTGAAAGTATCTGTAAGGTTCTAAAACAATCTGAATAGAACTGGAAAAAATTTGAAAAATGTGAAACAATTCAACAGCATCCAAAAGCATCAGGAATAGTCCGAAAGAATCCAAAAGGAAGAATCTGAAAATACCTGATAGAATCTGGAAGAATCTGAGAGAATCCAAAAGACTGAGGGAATATGAAGCTAAAAATCGGAAAGAATTAAAAAAATCAAAGGGGATCGGAAAGAGCCTCAGAGAATCTAAACAATCTGAAAGCATTTGAGAGAATCTACTAAAATCTAGAAAAACTGGAAGAATCTGAAACAGTCTGCAGGGATCTGAAAGGATCCAAAGCGATCTTGAAAAATTTAAGAGGACCTGAAACGATTTATAAAGATCTGCAAAATCCTTAGGAAGTCTGATGGAATATTGCGGAATATTGAGATATGTCATTTGCCAAAATCACTCTTATCTTAGCAAGAACTAGCCCCACCCACCCACCCTCTCTTTTCTTAGCGGCTATGTGATTTGACACATATTAAAATTATATTGTGTTTAAAATCTTTAAGTCACCGAAATATAACGCACTTTCGCAGCCAACTCTGACCCAAAACGTTTTCTACCTCGTGAAATCTATATAAGTACGAATGAAATTTTTAGATCCCTGAATAAAATAACTGCCGCTTCGTTAACCCCCAGATTAATAAAATTTTAAAACTTCACCCAAAGTGTTTTAACACCACAAAAGAAATAAAATTTAAACGGGTTCTGTAATGTGCCCTTTAATTAGCACGAAGTTAGAAAGATAATTATAAACATTATCTCCTGAAATATTCCGGAAAGTCTTGTTCTCATTAAGAATATCATAGTACTCAACTTCCCCCTTTTAATATTAATTTCAAATATATAAATATGTATTTTCGTACTCGGGTTTACGCCTTTCACCAAACCACCAAGCCCAAGAACATTTTTTTATTCAACATAATTTACAAGTTAGAGCTTACTGGGCACAAAAAATTTCAGAGCTTCTTTAACCAACTGGGCAGCTTCTTCCGCACACCCGATGGATAACGTCACGCCGCTCCCCCCATGTCCATAGTTATGGACAATTTTGACTTCTTTCCCTCCGATATTCCTCCTTTCCAACTCCAGACGAACTTGGTCACGACCAGGTCTCAAACCAGCTTGGTGTTTCAAAACTGGGGCGTGTTTCAGAGCCGGAATGTACTTAACACACCCATCAAAAATAAATTTTTTGTCTTGTTCGGATATAGCGGTACTGAAATCACCTTCTTGGTGGGTACCACCCAAAATCACGCACTCCTGATTAGGGATGATATAGTGACCGTGCTCTTCGTCCGTCATGAAACAATGGAACTGCCAAGGAGCGTGAACCCTCGCGATTTGCCCCCGCACGGGTCGTACCAACAAATCCGGTACCAAAAATCTCGAATTCAAACCGGTACAATTCACAATCACGTCAAACTGAGCCACTTCCTCAAAGTTTTGCACATTTTTAACCCTCACTTCGCCTCCATTCTCCACAAACTTTTTTTGCAAATACGGTAGAAACTTGGACGCCTCCCAAATGAAAGACACAAAGGTGAACCCTCCAGTGAACCTCTTCGCATACTTGTCGTTGTAACTTTTCACCTCCTCGGCCGGTATCTCGCTGTACCCCAACGTGATTTTCGCCCACTCGGGAATTTTGAACTCTTTTTGGTCGGACAGATTCACCATGACTTGGAGCGATATCCCGGCGTCCTTGGCCTCACCCCGCTTCCACAGTTCCAGAATGTAATCCTGCGTGGCCTTCGCCCATTGCAGGACTTTCTCCTGCGGCGTGTTTTGCAGGATGTAGGGTGTCCATAATCCTGCGGCGACGTCGCCTGTTGTGTGAGGGCTTAATTTATCGGCGAAAATGATGACTTTTGCTTTCGATCCGAATTCTTTCTGAATGGCCAGGGCGGCCGGGAGGCCGATCACCCCACCTCCTATCACGGCGATGGTGTACATATTAACTGAGCGAGATGTGCCGGGAATTATCTCTACGACTTTGGACTTGTTTGATAATGTGGAAAGATAGTTCCACTCGATTTTTGATAGCGAGTGTTTGTTTAATTCAACATTGTTAATTAGATTGCGGAGTTTGGTGTATTGTTGGTTGCATACGTTATTTTTATCGATTGATGATTATAATTAGAGAGTGGATTTTATGAAATTTGCATATCCATTATTTTTTGCTTTAAGTCTTGATATTTAATATGTGAGCGAATCATGCTAATTAAAAATGAATACAGCTATAAAAAAATTGCATATTTGCATATATCTGCCTTCTGCTGCACATTTCACGTAACGGGTGCATATTTTGCATTTTTATCAATTTTTGTGCTAATTTGAAAAAAAAAAATTATCAATCTATCGGAATTTATTGTAGTCCCAATTTAAAATGGTTTTTATGACAAGATACTAAACATTATCACCTCGTTATTAACCCACGACGGACAATATGAGTTAAATAACAAAGTATCGCCTTGCAAAGAAACCGACCACGTTCTTATTTATGGCTAGGAATTGACTTCATTGTCCTCATCGTCAACTTCGACACAATTGACGTATCATAAAAACTACTTTAAACTGGGAAGACTATATCTAGAAAGTCGAAATTTCATTAATCGTATAGCAAATATTTTCCTGAGCTTCAAATAACTAGGAAAGGTTTGGGCAGTGGCGTAAATGGCACCCTCGCAGACCCCGCAATGAGGGGGGGGCGCAGCGTCTAAAGGGGCGCAGACCGTAACGTAACCGATATATTTTTTTAAAATATGCAATTTTTAAAGAAGGGGTTTTCATTGGAATTGAAAATGAGATCTGGTAAATTAATCGCTATTTAACGAACAAGTTTGTTAATAAAGGTGATTAATAATCGAGATATTTTAACGCGCGAGGAACGAGTTTTTATATTTTTTCTTTTTCTCGATTTGAAATTTTTCAGTTTTTGGATTTTTCAATTTTTTTTGTTTTCAATTTTTCGTTTCTTCAATTTTTGATTTGCAGGTTTTCTAATTTTCATTTTAGATATGTAATAATAATTATAATTTTTATTAGAATTGTTCACTTTTTCAATTTTTCGTTTTTGGAATTTTTTAATTTTTCGATCTTTGAATGTTAGTTTTTGGAGTTTACGAATATTTTTCGATTTAATTCGTTCTTTGATTCATTAATTTTTTCTCGATTTCTAGTTTTTCAATGTTTCTATTTTTCGTTTCTTCAGCTCTACAATTTTGTCAAATAAATGTTATATAAATTAAAAAAAAGTAACAGTGTACCTATGGTCTATGAATCCTTGAATTTTTATCTTCGACATCGAAATTTTTGTGGAAAAATAAAACAAAATTGAATTACAATTTTTCGATTTCTTGATTTCTCGATTTTTAGTTTACTTAATTTTTCGATATTTCAGTTTTACAATTTTTGCAATTAAAAAAAAATCATTTTTACATTTCTCAATTTCTCTATTAATCAATTCTTTGATTTTTCGATTTTTCCTCTTTCCAATTTATCGATTTTTCAGTTTTTCGATTTCTCAAGTTTTCGTTGTTGCAATTTTGGGATTTTTCAATATCTCCAATTTTTTAATTTAAAATTTTTCACTTTTTTGATATGTCGATTTCTCGATCTTTCGATTTTTCAAATTTCTGATTTTTCGAATTTTGAATTTAATTTTTAAGTTTAAATATGTATTTCAGTTTTAAATTTTCCGGTTTTTCGATTTCTCCATTTCACGGATCTTTTGATGTCTCAATTTTTTAATTTCGATTTCTCGGCTTTTCCATTTTTCAAGTTTTAGAGTTTTAAATTTTTTTTCAACGTGTATTGCAATTTTTCGATTTTAGAATTTTCAATTTCTTACATCTCGATTTTTCGTTTTTTCGATTTTAAAATGTTTTCACTTTTCGTTCTTTTTTTCAAGTTTTCGATTTCTCAATTTTTCAACATTTCAATTTTGAGAATGTCTATATTTTTCAGTTTTTTGAAATTTTCATTTTTCAACTTTTTAAATTTTGATATTTCGACTTACCGGAAATCGATTTTTGGGTTTTTCAATTTTTCGACTTTTCAGTTTTGAGATTTTTCAATTTGTCGATTTTTTAGTTTTTCATTTCTTCAGTTTTTCGGCTTTTCAAGTTTTCGAATTTTTAAATTTAAAATTTTTCAATTTTTCGATTTTATTTTTTTTACGTTCCGATTTCCCGATTTTAATTTTTTTTATGCTTTTCAATCTTTGGTTTTTCTAAATTTTCATTTTTCCATTTCTCAATTTCTCGATTTTTCGACGTTTTGATTTTGTGTTTTTTTTTTAATGTTAAATTTTTCGTTATTGTAATTTTTCTATTTTTTAAATTTTAGATATTTACATTTTTCAACATTTTGAATTCTCGATCTTTTTTCAGTTTCAATTCCTCGGTTTGTCGATTTTCCAAAATTTCGATTTTTCAATCTTTCGACTTTTCAGTTTTGAAAATTTTCGATTTCTCGATTTTTCAGTTTTTGATTTTCCAAATTTTAGATGTTTAAAATTTTAGAGTTTGCAAATTTCACGAGTTTTCAGTTTTTAATTTCGTCAATTTTTCGATTTTCAATTTTTCGTGTGGGTTTTTAATTTTGTTTATTTTTTCAATTTTCGGCTTTCAATTTTCCGTTTTTTTAAATTTTTCATTTGCAGTCTTTCTAGTTTTCATTTTAATTATGTAACACTCCTAATAATTATAATTTTTAAAGTTGTTCACTTTTTCAGTTTTTCGATTTTGGAATTTTTCAATTTTTCGGTGTTTGAATGTCACAGTTTTTGGACTTTACAGTTTTCAAGATTCTATAATTTTTCGATTTTACAATTTTTGGATTTTCCAATTTTTCAATTCGAATGATTTTTCTTCTTTCCCATTCTTCGATTCATTCATTTTTTTTAGATTTTTAAGTTTCTCGGTTTTTAGTTTTTCATTGTTTCAATTTTTCATTTTTTCGAGTTTTTAACTTTTCGAATAAACAAAATCGAAAAATTATAAAATAGAAAAATTGTAAAACTGAAAAAGTAGAAAATGAAAGCTTCGAAATATAAAAAAATTGGAAATCAAGAACTTAAAAAATCAAAGATTGAAAAAGTAAAAAATTGAATAAACAAAAAATTATAAAACCCAAAGAAACATTGACAAAATAAAGGTAATGGAAAAATGAAAAATTGTGATATAAAATCAAGAAAATGAAAATTACAAAATCGGGAAAATGAAAATATCGAAAATCTGAAAAATATAAAAATTGAAAAATTCCCAAAATTGAGATAGCGAAAACTTAAAAATCGAGAAATCGAAAAATTTTTAAAATTGGAAAATTGAGATATGAGAAATCGAAAATTCCAAAAATGGAAAAATTGAAACATATTAAAAAATTAAAATCGGGAAATCGAAACATAAAGATAATAAAAGGGAAAAATGAAAAATTTTAAAAATCGAAAATTTAAAATATATAGGTACTAGAAAAATCGAAAATTTTGAAAATCGAAAAACCAAGAAATCGAAATCGAAAACTTGAGACTTCAAAAGAGCGAGAAATCGAAATAGGGCGAAATCGGAAAATTCAAAGTTGAAATATTTACTTAAAAAAAAAAGATAAACGGAAAAATCGAAAAACTCAAAAAAATCGATAAACCTAGATATGAGAAACAGAAAATTCCAAAAATCGAAAAATTGTAATACAGATTAAAAAATTTAAAAAGTCGAAGTTAAAAAATCGTGAAAACAAATTCCATTCGATTTTCCGTTTTATCGATTTTGCAATTTTTTGTTTCTTCAATTTTTTCCATTTTTTTTAATTCTCCGATTGTTCAATTTTTCGAATTTTCTACTTTCCGAATAAATAAAATGGAAAAGTTATAAAATAGAAAAATTGTAAAATTGAAAACTCAAAATGAAAAAACGGAAAGTATAAAATGAAAGCTTCGAGAAATCGAAAAACTTGAGAAATTGAAGAAACGGAAAATTCAAAAATCGAAAGATTAAACATTGAGAAACTTAAAGATCGAAAAATTGCGGTCGAAAACACGAAAATTATTGTAAAATCTAAATATTGAAAATTGGAAAATCGAGGAATTGAAAATGTGAAAAATTGAATAAACGAAAAATTGTGATATAAAATCAAGAAAATGAAAATTACAAAATCGGGAAAATGAAAATATCGAAAATCTGAAAAATATAAAAATTGAAAAATTCCCAAAATTGAGACAGCGAAAACTTAAAAATCGAGAAATCAAAAAATTTTTAAAATTGGAAAATTGAGATATGAGAAATCGAAAATTCCAAAACTGGAAAAATTGAAACATATTAAAAAATTAAAATCGGGAAACCGAAACATAAAGATAATAAAAGGGAAAAATGAAAAATCTTAAAAATCGAAAATTTAAAATATATACTAGAAAAATCGAAAATTTTGAAAATCGAAAAACCAAGAAATCGAAATCGAAACCTTGAGACTTCAAAAGAGCGAGAAATCGAAATAGGGCGAAATCGGAAAATTCAAAGTTGAAATATTTACTTAAAAAAAAGATAAACGGAAAAATCGAAAAACTCAAAAAAATCGATAAACCTAGATATGAGAAACAGAAAATTCCAAAAATCGAAAAATTGAAATACAGATTAAAAAATTTTAAAAATCGAAGTTAAAAAATCGTGAAAACAAATTCCATTCGATTTTCCGTTTTATCGATTTTGCAATTTTTTGTTTCTTCAATTTTTTCCAATTTTTTAATTCTCCGATTGTTCAATTTTTCGAATTTTCTACTTTCCGAATAAATAAAATGGAAAAGTTATAAAATAGAAAAATTGTAAAATTGAAAACTCAAAATGAAAAAACGGAAAAGTATAAAATGAAAGCTTCGAGAAATCGAAAAACTTGAGAAATTGAAGAAACGGAAAATTCAAAAATCGAAAGATTAAACATTGAGAAACTTAAAGATCGAAAAATTGCGGTCGAAAACACGAAAATTATTGTAAAATCTAAATATTGAAAATTGGAAAATCGAGGAATTGAAAATGTGAAAAATTGAATAAACGAAAAATTGTGATATATAATCCAGAAAATGAAAATTAAAGAATCGGGAAAATGATATAAAAAAAATGAAGAACTTGAAAGAACATCATTACGCCGAATATGTTCATTGCGCTACACATAACCTCAATTTGGTCCTTAATGATTCTGTTAAGAATGTACCAGGAATTTCCGCATTTTATGATTTAATAAATGCTATTCAGTGAGAGTTTACCGAGATGGCAACAACAACAACAACAACATTGAGATGAAAGAAAATGAGAAGTGTGTTATAAAAAAAACTTTAAAAAAAGTTATGCTCCACCAGATGGTCATCGAGATTTGATTCTCTAATTGCCATTAGATATAATCTCTCAACAGTTATGAGCTGAAATTATTTTAACATCAAGAAAGAAAAGTGAAATAGATGAAGCTGTAGCTCTTCGTAAAAAAATGGATTCATTTGAATTTGTTGCTCTATTAGTATTTCAATGCAAAATTTTAGAAAATGTTAATTTGGTCTCAAAAACTTTACAGAGTTCAAATATTACTTTAGATGAGGCTTGTAAATGGATGGAACATTTAAAAGACAAATTTCAAAGTATACGTGACAATTTGAACAAATAATGGAGGAATCAAGGAAATGTGCTGATACCTGGAAAATTAACAATTCTTTTTCAAATAAACGTATAAAAAAAGTGAAACTGTTTAATGACGAATTATGTGAAGATACCGTTTTCAAAGATCCCACTGAAAAATTTAAAACAACCGTTTTCTATCCTGCTCTTGATATTTTAAATATTCAAATTAAAGATAGGTTTGAAAGCATGAAAAACGTCAGAAACTATTTTTCTTTGCATATTTCCATAAATTTGGTGCATATCATATGATCATATTTCCCAAAATTTTGCTGCATATTTTCCGCTCTCTAATTATAATAATAGTAAGAGGGAAAATGTATTGTCCAACTGTGTTATTGATAAGAAAAATCCTGTTCGCACTCAATCTACTTGTATTTCGCTTCAACAAAAATTCGACAACAGGAACAGACAGACTTTTATCGTGCACAACTGCCGTGTTTTGTGCGCCTTGATTTCCTTCGATAATATGAATATCGAATATTGAAAACTACCTCTAGCACGTCGTTTGCCAAATAATCTAAACAATAGAGTAAACAGCGTCGGAAAGAACAAAAGTGCGCCGTTATCGCGAAAGCGCTGCAAACTTTCGAACGTCAACAAGAAAACGGTTCCGATAAATTGTAGAATTGTTGGTGAATTTAAAAAGAGATCAGCAGAAAAGTCCTATTGGGATTGTATATTCTCGATACGGTTGTAATTGCTGTCGTGATGGTTGAGTCGCTCGAAATGCAAACAATTTCAATTATGCGCGAACTGGTAGAGGGGGGAGTGCTTTAATATATAGGATGAACGTTTTAGGTGATAAGGATTTGAGTCGGAATCATCTGCTTTAGATTTAATAAATTCGTTTGTTGTAGTTGCATCGAGTAGACTCCAATTTAAACTTGATGAGTTGGGGAAGTGGCGACAAAAGGGACTGACTATAGTTCGGAGCGTCAGTCTACAAGTTTTCTTGTCTGTTCGTGCTGACACGATTGAATAGTTTTATTACAAGAAAATGTTTATTCTTATTTTAATGTCTCGAACTTCATCTGCATCGTCGCAATAAACTGGGTTACATTTCGGTATGCAGCCAACTCTAACCCAAAACGTTTTCTACCTCATGAAATCTATATAAGTCCGAATGAAATTTTCAGATTCCTGAATAAAATAACGCTTTTAAATAGCCCGTAAATTGCGTACGGTCCTCTCGTTTCATGTGCCGCTTCGTTAACCCCCAGATTAATAAAATTTTAAAACTTCACCCAAAGTGGTTTTAACACCACAAAAGAAATAAAATTTAAACGGGTTCTGTAATGTTCCCTTTAATTAGCGCGAAGTTAGAAAGGTGATTATAAACATTATCTCCTGAAATATTCCGGAAAGTCCTGTTCTCATTAAGGATTATCATAATCCCAAAGTACTCAACTTCCCTCTTTTAATATTAATTGCAAATAAATATGTATTTTCGTAATCGGGTTTATGCGTTCACTAAACCACCGAGACCAATAACATTTTTTTATTCAACACGCTACAAGTTAGAGCTTACTAAACAATTTCAGAGCTTCTTTAACCAACTGGGCAGCTTCTTCCGCGCACCCGATGGATAACGTCACGCCGCTCCCCCCATGCCCATAATTATGGACAATTTTCACTTCTTTCCCTCCGATATTCCTCCGTTCCACCTCCAAACGAACTTGGTCGCGACTTGGTCTCAAACCAGCTTGGTGTTTCCAAACTGGAGCGTGTTTCAAAGACGGAATATACTTGACACACCCATCAAAAATGAATTTCTTGTCGACGTCAGACACCACGGTACTGTAATCATCCTCTTGGTGGGTACCACCCAAAATCACACACTCCTGATTAGGAATTACGTAGTGATTCTCCCCGTCGTCATCCACCCCGAAACAATGAAACTGCCAAGGAGCCTGAACCCTCGCAACTTGACCCCTCACGGGTCGTACCAACCCATCCGGTACCAAATACCTCGAGTTCAAACCCGTACAATTAACCACCACGTCAAACTGAGCCACATCTTCAAAACTTTGTACCTTTTTAACCCTCACTTCGCCCCCATTCGCCACAAACTGTTTTTCCAAATATGGTAAGAACTTCGACGCCTCCCATGTCAAGGACACAAAGGTGTACCCTCCGGTGAACTTCTTCGCGTACTTGTCGCTGTACTCTTTCACCTGGTTAGTACCCATTTCGCTGTACCCCAACGAACTTTTCACCCAATCGGGAATCGCGAAGTCTTTTTCGTCGGACAGATGCACCACGGCCTGGAGACAAACCCCAGCGGCTTTGGCCTCACCCCGCTTCCACAGACCCAGGACGTAATCATAGGTGCCCTTCGCCCACTGCAGGACTTTCTCCTGCGGCGTGTTTTGCAGGATATGCGGGGACCATAATCCTGCGGCGACGTCGCCCGTTGTATCGGGGCTTAATTTATCGGTGAAAATGGTGACCTTAGCTTTCGGGCCGAATTCTTTCTGAATGGCCAGGGCGGCTGGGAGGCCGATTACCCCAGCTCCGATCACTGCGATGGTGTACATGGTAACTAAGCGAGACGGGATGAAGAATTATCTCGGAAAGATAAGTGATAGCGAGTGTTTGTTTAAATAAATGTGTTAATAAGCAATCAAACAAAACCTCTCAAGTTACTTGTTGACTGGCTTTATCATTGAAATGGATGTCTGCGTTTAATTTAAGTGTCAAAAAAGTGAGGTTAGAACGAACAGATAACAATGATTCTAGACATATTTGGGGTTCTGTGGCACACATCTTTCCAAAAAAAAAAAAATGAGCTCGTAATTATGGTCTTTTAATCGCTGGTTACACACGTGCTGTTTTCGGTTTTGTTGTAATGTTGGTTGCATATGCTATTTTTATCAAATAAAGAGGTTTCTAGTGGCCAGAAAACAACCTTGAACTAATCAATTGAGACCGAGTGTCCTGCAAATGTTGAACCCCGACTGATTAATTGCTCACCCGCGTTAATTTTAACCGTACTAACCCCGGTCGTAAAATTTCATAAATTATGCCCTCTGCAGAAAATTCTTCGTAGATTTTTGTCAGATTTGGAATTATTTCTTGAATATTTTTTTATATGACCTTAGCAACGTTACTGTTACAACAATTTCCCATTTTAGATATGTTTTAAGTTTCTTGTTGTCGAAATAAGTCAACACATACTAAGAAAACAGGCAAAATGTAAGCCCGCCCACCCGCCCTGTCTCAATTGTGATGATTTTTTCTATTCGTCGTGAGTCAAGAGGGCGAAACTTAACTGCAAAATCCATATTTCCTTAGAAAATTTTACCATTTTGAACGTGTTTTGAGTTTCTAAGAATTAAAAAAAACATCACAATCGAGATTGGGTGGGTGGGTAGGGTTTATATTTTGCCTTTCTTTCTGAATATACATGGTATTCTTTGAACAACACAATACTCATTTTTAATTTCTTTGTAAAGAAATAAGTAATTTCCAGTTAAGCTCCGCCCCCTTAGTTCACGGCGAATAAAAAACAATCGTCACAATTGAGACAGGGCGGGTGGGCGGGCTTACATTTCGCCTTTTTGTTTTAATATGTGCAGACTTCTTTTCACAACATGAAACTTAAAAAGATGTTTGCGATGGAAAATTTGTATAAGGAAATGTCGATTTTGCAATGAGCTCCGCCCCATAATTGCAAAATCCATGTTTTCTTGAAAAAAGCATTTTAACCATGTTTAAAGTTTCTTGTAATGAAAAGATGGCTGTGAATGTTAAGAAAAAAAAACAAAATATAAACCCCGCCCACCTCTTTCAATTGTGATGATTTTTTTTATTCATCGTAAGCCGAGTGGCGGAGCTTAATTTTAAAATCCTTATTTTTCTACCAGAAATGACTATGTGAAATATGTTTTTAAGTAATCGCATTATACAAAGAAGACTAAAGCCAAAAGAGAAGCCCCACCCATCCGTCTCAATCTTAATCGCGATGAATTTTTCATTCGTTGTGAGACCGAGGGGCGGAGCGTAATTGCAAAATCTATATTACCCTATAGATATTTACCATTTTAGACATGTTTTAAGTTTAAAAAAGCAAACTGTAGCCCCGCCCACCCGCCCTAACTTAATGTGATTTTCGTTTTTTCAATTTTTCGTCTCTTGAGTTTTACGTTTTTCAATGTTTTCATTATATAGATTTACATTTTTTTATTTCTGATTTTTCAGTTTTACAATTTTGCAATTTTTCCATTTTTTTTATTCATAAACTTGAAAAATCTAAACATTAAATATCGAAAAACTAAAAAATTGAAAAAATTGAAAAAACAAAAAACTTAAAGTATCTACGAAAAATTGCAAAAACGAAAAAGTGAAATATGGAAAAATTGCTAAGCAAAGAACTGAAGAAACGAAAAATTAAAACATTGAAATACTAAAAATCGAAAAACTTAAAAATGGAAAAAATTAATAAATCGAAAAATTGAAAAAAACACGAATGGAATCAAAAAATTGGAAAACCCTATAAATCGTAATATCTAAACATTATAAAATCGGCAAAATTGGAAAGTCGAAAAACTGTAACACGAAAATATCAAAAAATTGAAAAATAAATATCGAGAAAATTAAAAATCGAAAATCTGAAAAATCGAATAAATGAAAAATGGAAAAATTCTAGATTCGTAAAATTGAAAAAGTGGGAAATTTTAAAAATTGTAATTATTACTCATTTAAAATAAAAATTAGAGAAATTGCAAATCAAAAATTGAAGAAACGAAAAAATTAAAAACCGAGAACCTGAAACATCTAAAATTGAAAAAATGAAAAATTAAAAAATCCAAAATTTTAAACATTTCACAGTTAAAAAAAAGAAAAATCATAAAATCAGAACATTGAAAAAGCAAAAATAGAAAAAAATTAAAAAAATAACCAAAAGGAAAAATTGTAAACCGAAAAATTGAAGAAACGAAAAATTGGACAATGGTAACACTGAAAAATTAAAAATAAAAACGAAAAATTTTAGATTTTGCCTTTTTATTTTAGTATATGTAGACTTCTTTTCGCAACATGAAATTTAAAATGTTTAAAATGGAAAATTTATATAAGGAAATATTGATTTTGTAATAGGCCCCGCCCCATAATTGCAAAATCCATGTTTTCTTGCAAAAACCATTTTAACCATGTTTTAAGTTTCTTGTTATGAAAAGTTGGCTGTGTATATTAAGAAAAAAAAGGCAAAATATAATCCCCGCCCACCCGCCCTCTCTCAATTCTGATGATTTTTTTTTTATTCATCGTAACCCGAGTGGGATCTTTCCATGTTTCGATTTCTCAATTTTTCAATTTTTCGACTTTTCGTTTTTCCAAAATTTCAGTTTCTCCATATTTCAGTTTTGGAATTTTTTAGTTCTACCATTTTTAAGTTTTAGATTTTTCGATTTGTCGATTTTTATGTTTCGATTTTTTCTGCTTTTCCACTGTTCAAGTTTCCGATTTTTCAATTTTTCGATATTTTAAATATACGATTTTTCAATTTTTTGTTACCTATTTCGAGTTCTCGATCTTTCAATCTCCCGATTTTGGGTTTCTTTATTTTTCGATTTTTGACTTTTCCATTAATTCAACTATTCATTTTTTCAATTTTCAATTTTTCAATTACTCAATTTTTCGATTATTTAGATTTTCGATCTTTCTATGTTTCGACTTTTCAATTTTTTGATTTCCCTATATTTCAGTTTTGGAATTTTCCAACTTTTCTTTGATTTTTCAATTATTCGATATTTTAAATATTCGACTTTACAGTGTCTCGATTTTTCAATTTTTCATTTCGTCAATTTATCGATTTTTCGACTTCGGTTGTCGCATTTTCGATTTTTTTATTGTTCTACTTTTGAACTTTTCGCCTTCTCCTCTTTAGGATTTTTCGATTATTAAAATTTTCGATTCCTTATCTTTTCGATTTTTCGTTATTTTAATTTTTGAATTTTTCGATCTTTCATTTTTCGATGTCTCGAATTCTCAGTTTTTCGAAATTTCAGTTTTGCGATTCTTCGATTATTTTCACGGTTCGATTGCTCGATTTATCTATTTCTAGAAATGAATTCTCAGATTTTCCACTTTTAAATTTAATTTTTGAATTTTCGATCTTTCTATATTTCGATTTGTCAATTTTACAATTTTTCGATTTTTGGTTTTTCCAGAATTTCAATTTTTCGATTTTTGACTTTTCCACTAAATTCATTTATTAATTTTGTCGATATTCCACTTTTGCGATTGTTCAGTTTTTCTATTTTTAAAATTTTTGATTTTTCCATTTTTTCATGTTTCGATTTCTTGATTTATCGATTTTTCGACTTCGATTTCTCCCTTTTTCGATTTTTTTATTTTTTGACTTCCCGACTTTTCCACTTTACAGCTTTTTATTTTTGCGATTTTTGCATTATTTAGATTTTCGATTCGTGATTTTTTCGACTTTTCGATATTTTAATTTAGGGATTTTTCGATCTTTCTATGTCTCGATTTCTCAGTATCACAGTCCTTCGACTGTTCGGGTTTGGGATTTTTCAAATTTTCCATTTGTTAAATTTTTGATTTCTCGGTTTTTCCATGTTGCGATTTCTAGATTTATCCATTTTTCGACTCTTTTTCATTTTTTTTATTTTTCGACTTTTCAATTTTTCCATTTCTTGTTATTTTAGTTTTGGAATTTTCCAACTTTTCCATTTGAGTTTTATATTTTTCTTTTTTTCATTTCGTCAATTTTTCGACTTTAAATGGTTCTATTTTTCCCTCTATAGATTTTTCAATTTTTGGTTCAGTTTTTCGATTTCTGAATTTTACGATATTTCTATTTTGCGATTTTTTAATATTTTCATATTTCGATTTGTAGATTTATGGATTTTCTGACTTCACCCCACTTTACTTCCTGTTGTCATTGTGTCAATGAATCAATTGTTTTTAAGCATGAATTGAGTTCGTTCAGTTTTGTCGATGTTGAACAAGCAACAACTTATATTATTAGTTCCACAAATGAGATAGGGTGGGTGGGCGGGGTTAATATTTTGCCTTTTTCTCTTAATATTCATAGTATTCTTCGAACGACACGATACTCAAAACATGTTTTTAATGTCTTGTACAGCAATAAGTATTTTGCAGTTAAGTTTCGCCCTCTTGATTCACGGCGAATAAAAAAAATCACCACAATCGAGATGGGGTGGGTGGGCGGGCTTACATTTTTCCTTTTCGTTTTAATATGTGTAGACTTCTTTCCACAACAAGAAACTTAAAACATGTTTAAAATGGAAAATTTGTATAAGGAAATATCCATTTGTGCAATTAATCCATATTTCGTTGCAAAACCCACTTTAACCATGTTTTAAATTGCTTGTTATGAAAATATGGGTGTGTATATTGAAAAAAAAAGTCAAAATATAAGCCCCGCCCACCCACCCTATCGCAATTCTGATGATTATTTTTATTCATAGTAAGTGGAGGGGCAATTGCAAAATCGATATTTCCCTATACAAATTTACCATTTTAAACATGTTTTAAGTTTCTTGTTGTCGAAATAAGTTTACACATACTAAGAAAAAAAAGGCAAAATGTAGCCCCGCCCACCCGCCCTAACTTAATTGTGATTTTCGGTTTTTCGATTGTGCACTTTTTTGATTTTTAAGTTTCTCAAATTTTAATGTTTCGATTTTTC